TGAAAATATGTCATGTTCCTAAATGCTCCTATTTAGACTATATGTTCCTAAATAATTTTTTGAAATATGTCACGTTCTTAAAGTAATTTTGCTTTTTTAATCTTCTTCCTTATTCATGTTAAATACTCTACCACTGTTGGTTGGATATGAATCCATAGTAATTGGATGAGATGATGAAGCTTTTGAAAGAGTTCGTGGTTGTTCACTAATAGAAGGAAACAAACCAATGGCACCCTTGAACTCTCCAGTCAAGGTAATCTCTGCAAACTTCCATGTTATATGATTTATTTTTTATTTTTTTTATAGAGAAAAGATTCAACCATTTAAACTGTTTATATGAGAGTGCCTTTAGACCTTTTCATATATTGTTACTAAAACGATTATTGGGCCACTTTAAAGTTGTTTTATTTTAGTTATTTTTTAATGCAACAATTTCAATTTTAAAGTTGACGTAGTTGATGTAATTAATGGCTTTCAAATTAATCATCTGTGTAATTACTCTTACTTAAAGTACTCTTTCATTTACATAATTAGTTTAGTCACATTGGGGTATTATATGAATTATATGAATGCACTGATTTTGTAAATTCAACCATTTAAGCAATTTCAACGAATAGGCTCTTAACAAAATTATAGAATTCATGAGTTAATTTGTTTTACAGCTATAAAAGCTGAGTTCGAGTTTTTATTTAGTAAGATTTCAAATTCATGTTCAAGTGCATAGCTTCTTAGTGTTAATGATTAGGATTTGAATTTTTTCAGTTAATTGATTTTGAAATTAATGACTTAATTGGTTAGAATTTGTAGTATCATACTGTTCAAGTTTTCATTAATCTCATTAGCAAAAGTCTTCTTATTTTTTTAGAATTCTCTGATTGCTTGTTGAGAATTTCATCGCTCTAAATTAGTTTAATTGAGTCATTTAGAATCTTCCAAATTTTAAGCAATTTGTTAAGCTTTACATATTCCAAACCTTCTATCTTTAAAGCTTCGTCTTAAATATTTCGATTTTCGTCTAGACACTTCTATTAAATGATTTGGTAATTGTTTTGGAATGTAGGAGACACTACAACAAAAAGCATTTTTGGCGACGTTTTTTAGCAACCAAATTGAATTTAGTTGCCAATTGTATGTTTTTGGCGACAATATACGTGTTCGTTGCCAAAAACTACACCATTAGCAACAAATGTCTAAATTCGTCGCCAAAAATGGTTGGCGCGAAATTTGTTTTGGAATGTAGGAGAGCTTAGGCATCATTAGTTTTATAGTTATTTTTGTCACAATTGATTTCTATCCTTTTGCTGATGAAGAAACTTATCTTGATTTGTCATTTTCAAGTGTATGGAACTATGCATTTCGTTTTCAAGTGTAAATCTAGAATTTTGTCATGTGTATATATGAAAGTAATTTGTGAATATACTAATACACTTTCTAAATATTTGTTTTGATAGCTAAAAGAAGATTCTTTACCCATAAAGCGTCTTTTGACTGTGTAGTAGTGTAAGTACATGCATTGTATGTCAATAAATTTATATTGGTGAAAAGTTAGGGAGTTCAAGGGCAGAATTTACACTATTTTTTGGTTTTATCATTGACAAACTTTGAAAATAATTGACGTTGTATAAAGTCAAAGATTATTTAGAGACAGATTGACGTTGTGTAAACTTATATAGATTTGGTTTGGTTTGGTTTGAGAGGTAGATGCTTGGAAGTGTTTGCTATTTAGATTTTGATCAAGAACACCATTTTTGTATTGGCATAGGGTATACCAAAGGGAGAACACCATTTTGTTGTTCCTCTTATTTTGAAATTGTGTCTATAATAAAGGGGATCCACTTGCTCAAATGAGTGCTATCTATTCTTTTTTTTTTGTGTGTCATGGGGAAACAGAATTTTAGGTATACTTGATTCTCAATGTTCCTAGCTTAAGAGAAAATGGTAAATGAAAATTATTCAAAAAAAAACATTATTTACACCGTGCCTTTAGGCACAGGTATACACTAGTAATAAAATATAATACAATATCTATATATATAAGAATCGTTGCCTGCGATTCATCTTTTATTTCCAATTTTGTCTTTTCATTTTGAATAATTTACTAATGGTAGCCCATATGTTGAGTGAAAGTTTTTTCGTAATTACGCAAATATTCTTGGTCAATTATGCAACATGTTTTTTCGTAATTACGCGAACATTCTTGGTCAATCATTAAACATGTTTTTTCATAATTACACAAACATTCTTGGTCAATTATGAAGCATAAATATTTTATTTTTTAACAAATCACTTATAAAGTTTGTTTAAAATAAGTATTGGTCTTATAATACTAGAAATTACAACTACCGTACTTAGGGGAAAAAAAAAGAAAAAACCAATTCTCCTATGTAATAATAAAGTATCAAAATTGTTTATTGAAAATTATTTCTCATATTATTAAAAACTATTAATTGACTTAATGATTTATTTATTAACAAAATAGTTAATTGAAATTTTTTTTTCATATCATTACAAATTGTTAATTTACTTAATGATTTACTTATTAATAAAATTGGTCATTCGTTATGCTAGTATGATTTATGTATTAATAAAATTAGTTATTTGTAGATATATATATTTTATTTTGCTTCTTTATTAGTTCAATGAATTATCTTAGTATTTTTTTCAAATGAGAGAATTATCTTAGTATTTGTTTTATATTTATTTGTTGAGAAAAGCTGCACACCATAATTTTTTTTTTTATAAATTCAGAAGAAATGTTAAAAATTCATAAATTCACTCGAAATAATTTGGTAATAAAATTGGAGTCTACATCATTGGTTGTATAACAAATTGAAAAATGATATATACCATACTACATAATTCTATTATATATCTAATGATATATTCTATTCAATTTCATAGAACAATATTTTAATTTTTAAAAAATTATTAAAATACAAAACTTAGGCCTCTTTGGAAACAGTCTATTTTAGTAAGTTTTGGCTTTTTGGCTAAAATATGAGGTATGTTTGGGGTGGCTTTTTGATTTTTTACAAAAAGATGTGCAAAAAGTAGAGAGAAAATGGAATCTTTGACTTTTTGGTATATGTTATAGGTTTTTTGATTTTTTTTAGTAACTTTTTAACTTTTTGACTAAAATGTTAACTTGTCAAACGAGACCTTAAATATACTGTAATAATAGTCCATGCCTGCATAGGCCTTCTTAAACTAGTACAGATATATTGTTTGAGGGGAGGCTTGGTCCAAACAACATTACATTATCATTTTTCTTTTTTGTTTTGATATAACACAATAACTCTTAATTTAAATCAAATTATATTTTATTACACACAATTATAAAATTAAATATTTTGAAGTATTATAATTTTTCTTTCTTTTAAAATTTCATCCTCAAAATTGATTTATAAAATTGTCTTTTCGTTTCCGCTGCACACTCTGATAGAATTATTTCTTTACTAACAAAATGAAAGGTTTAAAACAACGATCCACGGTTCTTATTTGTACAAAATAATTTCTAATTATAAACTCTACCGTTAATTTCTTTATTGATTCAACTTTTTGGACAATTTGATTAGCAGTAACAAAATATCCCTACAGTTTTTCTTTGCGTTTGGCAAAGTAATGATTGAAGAGGGATAATAAACAAATTTTTTAAAAACAACTTTAAAAATTAAAAAAAAAAAACCAATTCCAGACATACAAAATTATAACATAATAGTAATAAGAGTGGCGCACTACAATCTTCTTTTATTTATTTATTTATTCATTATGGCGACACGGCGACACCTTTTTTCTTTTTTTTTTTTTCCTATATCATATTACATAAATCTATCCCACTACTTAATTGTGTATCTGTCCTATGTTCTAATATTTTTTTTAAAAATTTTTAAAGCATATTTTTTTTTTGTTTTAATAAACTATTATCCTGATATTATTTTTGTCACGATCCAAACCCAGTACTTAGAGATTCGACGTCGTAACAAAATAAAAATTAAAATCATAATAAATTAATAATGTAACGGAATAAAATAAAAATACCTAAAATTTTATTTCATTAAAAAAAAAACATATACATTGAGCAATTGATGGGCAACCCATGTGAATATAAACATATACTTTATTTAAAATGTATATATTATAATAATTTGAGTTTAAAATCTATATAGCGGTTGCCACATGTGATGGGGGTACAATTTAAATAAATAAAAATAAAATAAAATATTTATTATATATTGTGTACTAGTAAAGTGGTAAGAGTCTTATTATTTTGACATAAGTTTAAGGTTCAAATCCCCTCCTCTCATCTATCTAATTTTTTTTATTTCAAATAAAAGATAGACACGTGACCGTATAAGAAACAAAGGATTCAAGACACAATAAAGAGTGTTCACTAGAGTGTTCACTTTATAATAATATAGATAGATAGATAGGTAGATAGATAATTTCAAAATAAGAGAGCGGGGGCAGGGGAGTAGGGGAGAGTGACAGAAATAAAAAGAAAAGAAATAATAATAATAATAAAAAAAAATGAGTTAATTGGACAATTGATGGGCAATCCATGTGGGTTCTGTCCCAAGCCGACATATAATTAAAAAATAATTATAATCAAACATATAATTAAATTCTGCAATCTTAATTAAAATAATAACATAATTAATATCATAATATATTATAAAAAATAATAACATAATTAATATCATAATATATTATAACTAATAACATAATAAATCATAATCAAAACATAAAAATCGTAGCAAAAAAATTACATACAATTGAGACTATATTTGGCATAAACTTTTTAGGCTAAAATAGTCGTAAAAATATGAAATAGATTAAAAATTTAATATAATAAAATGTTATACTCAAATCGTAATTATTTTATTTTTTCTCTTACAAAAATTTAAAAAATCAAAAATTCATCTCAAATGACTTTTTTTAATCCCAAATTAAAATAATTAAAAAATTAAAAAAACTAATGAAAGGCTGAATTTCCCATTAAGTTGTGATATTACTTGAATTTTGATTGGTACCAGCTGGGGCCGGTAACAACAACACCCCCCACTCTTGTCCTTTTATATTTTTTTATCTGGGCAGCATTACAAATCCCCAATTTTCAAACTCACTACTTACCTTTAATCAAAAACTCAGTTCCGAGTTCAGACCACGATTTTTATTTTCTCATCTCCCTCCATTCAAACCCAGCCAACTAAAGGCTACTCCTCTGCAACAAAACACATTTTCAAAAAAAAATGGCTGAGAGTGCAGTGATCCATCTACTAGCCAACTTCGCACCCTTCCTCCAACAAGAGGCCAATTTGTTGACTGGAGTTCGAGAAGAGATCCAATACATCAAAGATGAATTCGATCGCATGACAGCTTTCCTCAGAGTTGCCGATGCTATGGAAGAGAACAACCCCGAACTCAAAGTATGGGTCAAGCAAGTCCGAGAAGCTGCGTACGACATTGGAGATGTTCTCGAGTTGTACATGCTTCGCCTCGGGCATCGTCATGGCGCTGGATTTCGCGGTTTTCTTGGTAAGGTTTCTTGCTTTATTAAGACTTTAAAAGCTCGTCACCAAATTGCTTCTGAAGTTCAAAGAATGAAATCCAGAGTCATCGATATTTCGAAGGGACATCAGAGGTACCATGATAGATATGGTATGTTAGAGCAAGGCTCAAGCTCAAGGTCCACTGGTCCTAACACAGCATGCCATGATTATCGTGGCGATGCCCTTCTACTCGATGAATCTGAGCTTGTGGGCATCGACAAGCCCAAATCGCAACTAATTAGGTGGTTGGTGCATGAAGACCCCAGACTCAAGGTGTTTTCCGTATCAGGAATGGGCGGATTGGGCAAAACAACACTGGTTAAAAAGGTCTTTGATGATGCAGTTGTGAAGAATCATTTCCAGAGCCATGTTTGGATCACTGTTTCTGAATCCTTCAAGATTGAGGTGCTCCTAAAAGGCATCATCAAACAACTTTTTGACGAAATCAAGCAACCAGTCCCACAAGGGATGGACAACATGGATACCAACAGCTTGAAAGGGATAATTAATGCTTTCCTGCAACAAAAGAGGTATGTGCTTGTTTTCGATGATATATGGGATATTCATGCTTGGCAATGTTTTAGACATGTGTTTCCTATTGGCAAATGTGGGAGTCGAGCAGTGCTGACAACCAGAAATGCAGATTTAGCTTCTTTCGCTAGTACAGAATATCATGGAGATGTCTATAGTCTTCAGCCCTTGACTCCAGAAGAGTCCTGGACATTGTTTTGCAGGAAAACATTTGTGGAGAATTCTTGCCCTTCACATTTGGAAGGACTTTCAAGAGCCATCTTGAATAGATGCGAGGGATTGCCGCTTGCACTTGTGGCAATTAGTGGCCTTCTATCAACAAAAAATAAGAGCAGTGTGGATGAGTGGGATAAGATCTACCGCAGCCTTGGTGCAGAACTACAAGCAAATGACAAACTCCTAAGCATGAACAAAATATTGTCACTCAGTTACATAGATTTACCTTATTATCTGAAGTTCTGCTTTCTCTATCTAAGTGTTTTTCCAGAGGATTGTTTCATTGACCATTGGAGATTGATTCGATTATGGGTGGCAGAAGGATTTGTAGAAATGAAAGTAGGAATGACGAAAGAAGAAGTTGCCGAGGGCTACCTCAATGAGCTAATCAATAGAAGCTTGGTTCAAGTGGCAGAGAGGAGAAGAGATACAAGGGTTGCAACCTATCGCATCCATGACCTTTGGCGTGAAATTATTGTTTCGAAGTCGGGAGAGCAAAACATTGTGACACTAGCCGGTGAACAAAGCAGAGCGTGGCCCGAAAAGGTGCGGCGCCTATCAATCAACAATCATTGGGAATATACACAACAAAGCAAGCGTTTCACTCGACTTCGTTCTTTGCTTATGTTCAATGCAACAGATTCACTGTCCAAGTTGTCCATTCTCGCATCGTCAAATGATGGTCTACGGCTGCTAACCGTTCTAGACTTGAGAGGTGCCTTGTTGGAGACATTCCCAAATGAAGTTTTGAAACTACTTCAACTCAGGTATTTAAGTTTGAGGGAAACCAAGGTAAAAATAATACCAAAGTCAATTGGAAAGCTCCAAAACCTGGAAACATTGGACCTTAAACAAACGTATGTCACTGAGTTGCCTGATGATATCCTGAAGCTCCAACGACTGCGCCATATCTTGTTGTATCGCTACATAATAGATGGTGTTCCTTCATATCCTTTTGAATACCAATGCGGATTCAAAGCCCCGACGAAAATAGGAAGTTTGTCATCCTTACAGAAACTTTGTTCTATTGAAACAAACCATGATAATGGGACCATTTTGCTAGGAGAGGTAGGGAAGTTGACTCAACTGAGGAAATTACAGATTGGAGGCCTGAGAAATGAAGATGGGAGGGTGTTATGCTCGTCCCTTGAGAAGCTTAGTAACCTTCGCTCATTGATTGTTCGTGCAACAGAAGAAGACGAGATCATTGATCTAGATTCTCTTTCTTCACCACCTCAACTTCTTCGAATGCTCAGCCTATGACGCAGCCAGCACATGGCCAGCGCAGCAAGCCGCAAGCTATGCGTGACCAGCACAGCAAGCAATTCCATGACCATTGCTTTAGTTCCAATTATTTTATTATTATGTTCACTTTTGGCAATTGCCTTGTTATTTGTCTTATATTTTATTAGTTTTGCCTTGTTACCTTAGTAGTTGCCTTTTTGACTTCCAAACCTGTGTTGCTTCGTAGCCTCTGTTTTTTTCTTATAAATAGTGGGTGTAAAGCCTTAGGGCTCTAGCATTTTTGAATGATTAATATATTTTGAGTTTTATTACTCTTTGTTCCAACTTTGGTTAATTCTGTGTGAGTTAACTTTGGTTGAGCCTTTAAACTCGGTATTCTTGGGAATCAACGGGTCTAAAGAGGAGTCTTAGTTCCGGTATTCTTGTGTGAATCAACGGATCTTAAGATTGTTACTTTTGTTTCGATTAAGCACTGCATCAGCCTAGAAGGAAGTTTACATAAGGTACCACATTGGATACCCTCACTGCACAGCTTGGTAAAAGTATTTTTACGATGGAGTAAGTTAGGGGATGTTGATCCACTGGAATCCCTTCAAGATTTGCCCAATTTGGTTGAACTTCAACTTCTTGAGACATACGAAGGGGCAGAATTGTGTTTCAAGGCTGGTAGATTTCGAAGACTTGTGATATTAGACCTTCGTGGATTAAAAGGATTGAGATGGGTGAAAGTGGAGGCTGGCTCGATGCCTCATCTTGAAGAGTTAATTATGGTTGAATGTGAATTGGTAGAGGAGTTACCCTCTGGTATTGAACATCTAACCAACCTTAAATATCTTGAATTGAATGATATGTCTGATGGATTGATTTCGAGTCTGAACAGAGACTTAGAGCGTGGGAATTATTGGAAAATTGCACACATTCCAAAAGTTTGGGTTGGGGACTCATATTATGCAGGAAATTATCTATGGTGAGGGAGGAGAGAGCTCTGACCATGTTGAATCACCACCACATTTAGAATGCTTATTATGCATTTATTTATTTTCATGTGCTCTTGGGACTTGATTTGTTGTATTCATATTGGGATCAAATTTTTCTCTAATTTTCTTTTTTTCTTTTTCTATTCTTTTAGTAGACTAGAAGCCTGCTATTTGACCTCCTAATTTTGATTTTAGAGAGTTGGTAACTTCACAAATTTTTTAATTGGGATTGTAAATCTTAAGGTTCATTTGGTGAGTTTTGTAATTTTTTAAAATTGTCTTTAGCTTTAGATTTTTTGAAATTGAAATAAAAAACACATTTGTTAATTGTTTTCACTTTTAAAAAACACGTTTGCTAACTTCACAAATTTTTGAATGGTGAGATTTTTATTTTATTTATTTTTCTTTAGCTTTAGTTTTTTTGAAATCGGAATAAAAAAACACGTTTGCTAATTATTTTCACTTTCAAAAATATCTGGCTACAATTCTTAGAATTTCTGGAAATAAGAAAATTGTGATTTTACTTATTTTCAAAACAGGTTTCATTCTTTCCTACCACCCTCACCCTTCCGTCTTTGCTCTGGCAATCACCTTCGACCATTCCCTCCTTTTGGTAACTGACTATACTTGTTTTCATTTTGAAAAATGGTTATACAAATCTATTTTATAAGCTCACTTTCTAAATCTAGTAATTTATAATGTAAGAGAAATGAATGATTGATGATTAAAGAAAATATTAGAAGGAGAGTTGACTTTAATATTCTAAAGTAATCACAAATACACTGTCTAAGATTTATTTAAAATATAGATTGTTCTTTGTAATTTTGAAAATTACAAATACCTCATTATCAAAAAAATTTATTTAACATAATTAATAGAAAGATGAAAATTTTAATTATTCTCCTACATAATAATAAAATTATTTGAATTGTTAGTTGAAATATAGTTATGACATCATTAAAAATAATTTATTTATTTATTAATAAAATGAGTTATTTGTTATGTAATTAGAAACTTAAAGAGGCAAGATGTAATTTTTAGAAGGACTTTTCTCATGTGTGCCTTGCATATGGTATGCAAGGCAGTTACACCCTTCCATTTTGCATTTACACATTTATATGTATTGGGTTATATCAAAATATTTGGAAACTTACACATTGGTGACCTGCTAAGCAGGTCAGTTTCCAGGTAAATTAATAAAATAATATATTATATGACTAAAGGTGTAAATGGTCTCAAGAAAGGCGTAAGGAATTTCAGAAAAGGCGTAACTGATTACTGAAAAGTATAAATCATTTACACCTTTTATGAACACTTACTCCTTTTGTGTAAGAATTTTTGGCATAAGATTTATACCTTTTGTGGAAGCCCAACTTAAAGCTTTTCGGAAGTCAAAAATTCTTACACAAAAGGAGTAACTTTTCAAAATATATATAAGCACTTCCACGAAAAGGTATAAGGTTAAGAAAAAGGTGTACGGGAATGACAAAGAAGCAGAAACGTAGAGAGAAAAACTGCTAGAGGAGGAGGCTATATTGAAACAGCTAAAGAAGATTCAAGCAGACATCTCCATCTGGGGACTGCTTATGGCCTTGAGGGTTCACAGACAAGCCGTCCTTACAGCCATGGATAGGGCCAAGCTTTCAATTGATACAACTCCTGATCAGTTGGTAGGGCTGGTTTTCTCGGGAGGCGTTTCCCCAACCTTGATCTTCACCGACAAAGAGCTACCGCATGAGGGCTCAGATCATAACAAGCCACTTTATATATCTGTGGAGTGTAGAGAGAAATAGATACCGGTGGTCCTGGTCGACACGGGGTCTGCAATCAATGTATGTCCGTCGAGAGCGACATATGCTATCGGGTTGAAGCCCGCGGATTTCATGCCTACAACCCAGGTAATACGGGCCTATGATAATACTAGTCGGGAGGTGATGAGGACCGTACGAATTAAGACTCAAGTTGGCCCAGGGCAACAGGACATTGAGTTTCTTGTCTTGAATGTACCAACAACCTTCAATTTACTCCTCGGGCAGCCGTGGCTGCACCAAGTGAAGGCCGTCTCTTCCACTTTACACCAAATACTGAAGTACCCCCATGGGAAGGTGGTGGCAATCGTTTTTGGAAATTCTTCAATACATCCGCCGCTAGAGGTTTCTACACTAGTTCTGGAGATTGAGCATGGCGCGGAGGATGTATTTCTGTCAGGATTCACCCTAGCTGAGGCTCGGGTTGTACAGGATATGCTAGCTATTGATGAGGGGCTATACGTCAGTGCACAGTCTGTCTACCTTATGAACAAGCTTCA